ACCATGTTGACCAGGATGGTCTCGATCTCTTGACCTCGTGATCCACCCACCTCGGCCTCCCAAAGTGCTGGGATTACAGGCGTGAGCCACCGCGCCCGGCCTAATGTTTTGTATCTTTAGTAGAGACGAGGTTTCACCATGTTGACCAGGATGGTCTCGATCTCTTGACCTCATGATCCACCCACCTCAGCCTCCCAAATTGCTGGGATTACAGGCATGAGCCACCGCGCCCGGCCTAAGAAGTAGAATTCTTAAAAACTGCTAGTGGTACTACAAATGGCATAACCACTTTGGAAAACAGTTCGGCCTGCTTTTTAACAAGTTAAACATGCACATACCATATAATACAACCATTCTATTCCTAGGTATCTACCCCCAACAAAATAAAACCATGTCTTACAAAGACATGTAAACAAATGTTCACAGCAGCTTGATTTATAATAGCTAAACACTGGAAATAACCCAAATTTCCATCAACTGGTAAATGTATAAACAGTGGTATATCCATACAATGGAATATGACACAGCAGTAAAAAGGAATGAACTATTGCCACGTGCGACAAGAATGAATCTTGAAGTATGCTGAGTCAAACCAGACCAAAAAAAAAAAGTATATCCTGCATGACCTTCTATACTTTCATAGGAAATGCGCTAAGGTGTGACAGAAGGATGATCAGTGGTTGCCTGGGGATGTGGGGAGCAGCACAGGACAGGGCAGGCGAGAACTTGTGAAGGAGTATGAGGTAACTTCTGGCAGGGAGGAATATGTTTACAGTCTTGACTGTTATGATTTCAGGGGTGTAAATGGATGGCAACTTATCAAAGTGTACACTGTAAAAATATAGGCAGTCTGTCGCATGTCAATGGTACCTCAATAAAGCTGCTGAAAAATAAATGTAAGCAGACACGCTTCACTACAGAAGATCTACAGATCCGAACGAGTACATGGAAAGATGCTCAACATCATTTGCTATTAGGAAAATGCAAATTCAAACCACAAGTATATACCACCACCACCTACTAGAATGGCTACACAATATATTTAAAACCACCATCAGGCTAAGCTGCTGAATGCCAACCGTTCCTATATTCACTGTACTTTAGTATTTGCATATTAAGTTCCTATTTCGTTAAGGAGAAATTCCCAGTTATATCTCTGAATATTGTTTCTGATCCATCTATTAGCATCTCTATTTTGGGCACCAATTCTCCTCATAGTAAATATATTTGTCAATCCTACAAAGACAGCATCTTTTCTGTGAATGTTTTCTCTTTTTCTTACGCATTCACTGGATTAGCTCAAGTCTTTCCTCTATGTCAGTACTTTCATCTTTAGCCAAGTCGATTATGTTCCTTATATTCTATATGTATTTCATATGTAATGTCATGGGGCTTGTTTTCCTTAGCAATTCAATTTCCAATTCATACATACTTTATTTTCTCACCTTTGAGCTCTTGTTTTATTGAATTCATTGTCTTATGAAGTTCTCATACATTTTGAAGCATCTACTAGGACTGATGTTCTCCTTGGATTATATTTTCTTTCTTTCTTTTTTTGAGACAGAGTCTCTGTCGTTCAGGCTGGAGTGCAGTGGTGCCATCTCGACTCACTGCAACCTCCACCTCCTGGGTAAAAGCGATTCTCCTGCTTCAGCCTCCTGAGTAGATGGGGCTACAGGTGCCTGCCATCAAGTCCGGCAAATTTTTGTACTTTTAGTAGAGATGGGGTTTCCCATGTTGGCTAATGGTCTCGATCTCCTGACCTCGTGATCAACTCACCTCACCCTCCCAAAGTGCTGGGATTACAGACGTGAGCCATCGTGGCCAGCCAGATGCAATCTTTATTAGAAGATCTGGGCTTTGCTTTTTCCTCTGAGACACTTAATTGCTGTATGTTGAGAAAGATTCTACTCTAATGAAGGCGAAACTGCCCTTAACTTGCCAATCATTGCTCTGAGTCATCATGGAAGAAACGAATGCTGCTTCTGAGGGGCAATCTCTGATTCCTACACCACCTCCCTACCACACCCAGGTCTTCAGCCTTAGCTGGATCCACCATCCTCCACATTAGAAGGTGCAAACTCTCCTCCGGTGTGCTTCCTTCCAGACACAAAATTTTTTTTGAGACAGTCTCATTCTGTTGCCAGGCTGGAGGGCAGTGGCGCAATCTCAGCTCACTGCAACCTCCGCCTTCTGGGTTCAAGCGAATCTCCTGCCTCAGCCTCCGAAGTAGCTGGGACTACAGGCGTGCGCCACCGTGCCCAATAATTTTTGTATTTTTAGTAGAGATGGGGTTTCACCATGTTGGCCAGGATGGTCTTGATCTCTTGACCTGTGATTCACCTGCCTCAGCCTCCCAAAGTACCAGGATTACAGTTGTGAGCCACAGAGCCCAGCCCAGACAGAATATTAACTGAAAATTCTTAGGCCAGGCACAGAGGCTCATGCCTGTAATCCTAACACTTTGGGAGGCCAAGGTGGGTGGATCATCAGAGGTCAGTAGTTCAAGACCATTCTGGCCAACATGCTGATACCTTGTCTCTACTAAAAATACAAAACTTAGCCGGGCATGGTGGCACATATCTGTAGTACCAGCTACTAAGGAGACTGAGGCAGAATTGCTTGAACCCAGAAGACGGAGGTTGCAGTGAGCCAAGATTGTGCCATTGCATTCCAGCCTGGGCAACAGAGACAGACTCCGTTTCCAAAATAAGAAAATTTTTTGTGGACACATTACTATATTTTACAGCAACAGAGCGAGACTCTGTCTCAAAAAAAACAAAAATAAATTAAAAAATAAACACAAATATAAGTACATGGGTTGGGGGTCATGGCTTATGCTGGTAATCTCAGCACTTTGGAAGGCTGTGGCAGGAGGATCATTTGAGGCCAGGAGCTTGAGACCAGACTGGGCAACATGGTCAGACACCATCTCTAAAAAATAAGTTTTTAAAAAAATTAGCCACACATGGTGGCACACACCTGTAGTTCTAACTACTTGGGAGGATCACTTGAGCCCAGGAGGTAAGGTTACAGTGAGCAATGATCATGCCACTGTACTCCAGCCTGGGCAACAGAATAAGATCCTATCTCTAAAAAAGATTTTTATAAAATAGTAATAATAGGCCAGGCACAGTGGGTCATGCCTGTAATCCTAGAACAAACTCTGGGAGGTCAAGGCAGATGAATGCCTTGAGCCCAGAAGGTTGGAACCAACCTGGCCAATATAGTGAAATACCATTTCTGGAAAAAAACAACACAAAAGAGCCCAGGAGGTCGAGGGTGCACTGAGCTATGACTGATCACACCACTGCACTGCAGCTTGGGCAACAGAGCAAGACTATGCCAGAAAAAAAAAATTAAGGCCAGGTGTGGTGACTGACGCCTGTAATCTCAGCACTTTGGGAGGCTGAGGCGAACAGATCACTTAAGGCCAGCAGTTCAAGATCAGTCTGGCCAACGTGGTGAAGCTCCTTCGCTACTAAAAAAAAAAAAAAAAAAAAAAAATTAGCCAGGCATGGTGGTGAGCACATGTAATCGCAACTACTCGGGAGGCTGAGGCAGGAGAATTGCTTGAACTCAGGAGGCAGAGACTGCAGTGAGCCAAGATTGGTCCACTACACTCCAGCCTGGGCGACAGAGCACAACTCCCTCTCAAAGAAAATCAATAAATAAATAAACAATAATAATAAAGGCTATGACAATATAGACTTTGTCTATGCCATTTCCTGCTATATCTGCAGCACCTACACAGAGTAGCACCTGGCATGCAAAATAGACTCCGTATTTGTCAGACAAACGAGTGCACTTTACCTTACTGAATCCTCCTACACATACTATAAAGCTGGTATAGGGGCCGGACGCAGTGGCTCACGCCTGTAATCCCAGCACTTTGGGAGGCCGAGGCGGGTGGATCACGAGGTCAAGATCGAGACCATCCTGGTCAACACGGTGAAACCCCGTCTCTACCAAAACTACAAAAAATTAGCTGGGCATGGTGGCGCGTGCCTGTAATCCCAGCTACTCAGGAGGCTAAGGCAGGAGGATTGCCTGAACCCAGGAGGCGGAGGTTGCGGTGAGCCGAGATCGCGCCATTGCACTCCCGCCTGGGTAACAAGAGCGGAACTCCGTCTCAAAAAAAAACAAAAAACAAACAAACAAACAAACAAAAAAGCTGGTATTAGGTTCTCTCTTGGCTTAGAGAATACTGTGGGTTTTGGTTTTCTCATATTTTTCTGTTTTCCAAACTAACACTTATTACCTTTATAATCAAGGAACACAATAAAAGGAACCGTGCCTTTTTTTTACCTCAAAATCTGTTCCTGACAAGCAGCAATTCGCTTCATGAATTTGTAAAATGTCTGATCTCCACTTTTAATTATAGTCTTCTCATATTTTTCATCACCATCATTAGAAAGGCTAAAAACAGAAGCAGAAAACATTTTTGAATGTCTATATCCAGAAAATTACAGCATTTGCAAGACGAAACAAGATAATTTTTTTAAAAAAAACTCTTATCAGTCACGCCAGCACTTTAGGAGGCCGAGGCAGGTGGATCACTTGAGTTTCAGACCAGCCTGGCCAACACTGTGAAACCACATTTCTACTAAAAATACAAAAAATTAGCAGGGCATGGTAGCAGGAACTTGTAATCCCAGCTACTTGGGAGGCCGAGGCAGGAGAATCACTTGAACCCAAGAGGCAGAGATTGCAGTGAGCCAAGATCGTGCCACTGCATTCCAGCCTAGGCAACAAGAGTGAAACTCTGCCTCAAGAACAAAAAAAATTATCAGGCCAGCACAGTGGCCTCATGCCTGTAATCCCAGCACTTTGGGAGGCCAAGGCAGGCGGATCACTTGAGCTCAGGAGTTCAAAACCATTCTGGGCAACATGGCAGAACCTTGTCTCTACAGAAAAATACAAAAATTAGCCAGGTGTGGTGGCATGCACCTGTGGTCCCAGCTATTCCAGCAGTGAGGCTGTGGTGAGCCATGAGTACTGCACTGCAGCCTGGATAACAGCCTGAAGCCCTGTGTCAAAAAGA